GATCTAATCTGAGGCAGGTGTCCATTTAGGGAAAGGAAATTGACTGGGTGTGTCCTTATTTTCTACCTCCAGTTTGAGTGATTCCATACTTTTTTCCTCAGAATTGAGTGATTCCATATTTGTTTCCCTGTGCTTGCTCAATAAAAGTAACATTCGCTGACTTTCACAATGTTTTCTCTTCATTTCTTTGAGTGTTCCTGAAAGACAACAAGTGGCACTTTGGAATGACCTTATTATTGTATCATGTTTTTGATCTGAGTTTGTTTTACAGAATGAAATGTCTGAATGAGTGCTCATCCAACACTGGTGAATTCATACTTTTTGCCAGGGGTTGTAATATACCTGCATGTTTTCTCACCAAAGCTCCCGACGTTATTTATCCACATCTATCCTTGTTAAAGCTCCACTGTTTTGATCAGTCAGATTCCTCCGTGCACGTTGTCTGTTTAATCTCCAATCGTGATTTTTTTCACAGTTTGACTATCTTCATAAAACTCTGCTTCCTGGTGTCGGCTCTGGGAGCGAGTCAGTTTTTTTTTTTTACCAAGTAGTTGCAGTAAATGCAGCAGCGCTTTCAGCACAAACAAACACGCCATGAGTTTTTCTCGGTTTGACTATCTTTATAAAACTCTGCTTCCTTATAACAGTCCACTCTGGAAGTAAGGTTTTTTTTTCTTTCTTTCTTTTGAGTGTCAGGGTGCTTTCAGTTTCAGCACAAACAAACACACCCACGAACTTCAGACCAATCACACTTTACTGTCATCGCGGGAGGGGGGTAAAATGTTCTGCCAGCGGGTTGTGCCAAAAGGGGCTGCCGAGCTGACGCTGCGAAGCCCGGTGACGTAATTTTCGTCATGAAACTGCAACAACCTGTGCCGACGTCGGGAGAAGGGGTTTTCTGCGGAATCAAAGTGGGCGTGTCACAAAAGTGGGTGTGTCTAAAGCATAAACACTGTGAGCTAAAAGGCCTACATGACGGTATCCTTAGATCCAGCTTGATCTCTTTACAGCCTGACCCTGACCCCAACACTAAGGTTAACCAGGAGAAATGTGACCCAAGTAGGGTTCTCCAGAGAAAGTGGTGCCGTTCAGTAACGCCCCTTTTTTGCTTGTCCAGTCAGGTGTGTCCCTTTAACAAAGTCCGTCAAATCAGGTGTGTCGCTTTAGAATCGCCTTTCCTTGTGACACGCCCACTCGTCCGCAGAGACCCCTACTTGGACGTCGGCAGTTCGACGGGAGTATGTTTCCATCTTGAGAAGTGTCCCGATCTCCACCAAAATAGGATGACACACCCAGGAAGATAACAATTTAAGTGCCTTCCTTTAGCAGGGCAATGGTAAGCGTTGAACCAAAGATCACATGCCTCGCTGCAGAGTCTACAGATGGGTGGGCTGGCCAGCTGTGGAGGAGCTGAGCAGTGCGGCGTGTCCTCCCACTCTCTCACACCTGATCCAAAGTGTTCAACTCAAATAAGCACAGGACTAGAGTCCAACGGGGTGAAGGAGCAGCTAACATCAGGTGCCAATGATGAAATACTCAAGCATGCTCAAAGCAAAACACAGCAAATTGTGAAAAACCAAAATCCCATTATAAACAAACTCAATGCAGAAACACTGCACTGGTCTGTGACATTTACACATCACAGCATCAGCGTAGCTTTTCCTCTTTACTGAAGAAAGGTGATGCATGTTGGAGTTTCAGGTACTGTAGTAACTGCACTGGTGCACCTTCAGATTCTTTTTAGAAACTTTGTGGTTTGAAGCTGTGGTTACTGTGCTGGATCGGTCGAGGGAAAATCGGTTCCCTTTATGGTAATTTTGACACCTAATCAGAGCAGTAAAAACCACCAATAAAAGCTGAACAAACATGACAGATCTCCCCACCAGCTGCCCTTATCCAGCTGCTGAAAGCCCACATCTGAAATCTTCCTCTGACATGGTTGTGTGTGCTACAGAAACCAAACAGCAGTATCATTTGTTCATGGTCTGACCTCTAACAGGCAGCTGATACATGCAGTCACCCTGCCGAACACAAGCAGTGGCCTTTCAGAGGAAGGACACGTCACCAGTGTCCTTCGGAGCACCACTGTGAAATGAAGCAACAAAACGTTTTATTAAACACCGCCCTGTTAGATCTGCTCTGAGGAAAACTCTGGTCTCTAACGTGGGGGGGGGGGGGGGAACACTCACGAGGGAGGATCTAAAAGAAATCTATCACTGGAGGCGACTGGTTGTCAAATAAAACGTGGCGTGGGTAATTTTACAGGACCAAAGTCGATACAGGCAATCATCTAACACACCTCCTGCCCTCCCCCTCGATGCTCTCTACACTTTACAAGTTGAGGTCAGGTGCTTTTAACAAAGGGTTGGGTTAAACATGTGGAAAACAAAATAAACGAACAACAACTAAAGTCTTGACAAATGTCGTATATTTTCAAGTGTGTATGTCTCTTTAAGGCGTGAACGAGCCCAGGTGGGGACGCGCTTCTCTGGGCACGCGCTTTCTTTGTTCAGAGTTCTTCATGTCATCTAGCTGTTAGCAACGTCTCTCTTTTCTCTCGCTGAATAAACATGTCCAGAACTGAAGAAATAGTCTTTTCTTCATTCAAGTGTTAGCTGATAGTCAACCGCTCAAAGGAAGAAGCCTTGTGATTTTCCAGCAGCTTACAGGCAAGGACGCTCCAACGAAGCCACCGACAGCAGCAGCCCCAGAGGGAGCAGACAAAGAGAGAGAGACGGGTCCAGCAGTTGACGGAGCCCCAGAAGAACCGAGTGGACCGAGACTCTACACAAACATTTAATAAGAAAAGCTTTAACGAGGCTAAATAAAAGACTGTTTCAAACAAGACATTTGGGAGGAAAATTCATTAACAACAGTTTAATAGACCCAGAAACATTTACTATTTTCAAGCAGCCTACTTCTTTGTAAAGTAGTAAATCTCAAAAACTCTTAACCTAAACCAGTCTGAGAATGGCAATTAAGAAGACAAATGCTTTTCCTTTCTATGGCTAACAAACAGTCTGACAACGTCCCTGTAAACAACAATTAACTGTTGCTTTCTGCTCATTACACAGAAGAATAAATGAAATATAAAGCAGTGGTTTATTTCAAAATCAATATCGCAATTTTCAACGCAAAGCTCTTTTCCTCAGCACTAATGGATTGTGAGAATGTGAAATGTGAAATCACTGGTAAATAGTAATATAGTAACAAAAATTAAGGAATCTTGTGTTTGCAATATTATTCTAAGTCTTGGCATTTAATCTTATTCCACTGGAAAGCCTGTTTATTTCCTCTTAAATGGTGCCATATTTCATTCAAACGGAAACTGCTGTGGGTTGAACAGCAGAGTGGAGTTTGTGTGTTGCACCCATGAAAAACAGAAAATCTCTTTTTTCTGCTTTTGACTCTTTTTTGTTTTTGTTTTGTTTTTATATACTCCGCCTGCTGATAATCAGGTGCCTGATTGGGACTTGATTGTGATCACCAGGTATCTGTGAACATGAACTTTGCAGTCAGCTGTCAGAAAAATATTCCTTAAACAACTACACATACCTAATGAAATTTATTAATAAACAATCAATAGATGCGTCTCTATAACTGAATAATTTATGGAGTCAACCAAATTCAAGGTGGCTGCTCAAACCAACCCATCTTAGAAAACACAAACAAATCTGAAACTCAGTTCATCCATTCGTCTGTCTATCATCTGCTGCTTGTTGCAGAATTGGATCACAGTGAAAGCTGGAGATGACTACATGATGACACCAGCAGGACCTCTGCATCTACAACAGGGATAGGCAACTGGCAGACCATGGAGCACATTCGGACCACAGGTGACTTCCTTCGAGCCCTGTACACCCTCTTATGCCCCTTTTCCACTAGTGCCACTTAGTGCAGTGTCGGAACGGTCGGTGTAGGTACGGGTCGGACCGGTTGGTTTTCCACTGATGTTCCAGTCCGGTTCCAATGGGTGTTTTGGGCGGTTAGTGGAGGTGGTTTTTAGGTATTTTGAATAAAAATTAATGGGCAAAATGACAAATGGAAACACATTTGATAAATAACTTTTGAGATTTTAAACATTTGCAAAAATTTAGCCAATCAATGACGAACAGAGTTCTGACATCGCATTTTGGTGTCAGCTGGGGCCGGTTGGAACCACAATGACTTAGGTACTAAAAATAGTGCCGGTTCCATGGATCTGGCCTAATGGAAATGGCTTGGAACCGTACCGAACCGTACCGACACTACACTAAGTGGCACTAGTGGGAAAGGGGCATTAGACTCTATGAGCTGCTTTAGTGCTTTTTTAAAAAAAAATAAGTTGTGTGTGTGTGTGTGTGTGGGGGGGGGGGGGGGGGGTT